CCCACAAAATACTAGTTACACAATGAACACATATAGCAAATAGCAAAAAATGTATTTATTCAAGTCAACAGCAAAACAGAAATCAGAGAAAAAAATATATATATATACATACACATATAATATATATGCACATAGCTATAAAGTATATATGTATATACATTTATAGATGTGAACATGTATATATAATATACATATATGACAGAACATATATCTGACAACACAGATTGCAGGAGCTCTCCTATTGGCAACCCAACTAGAACAGTAATGGTTTTATCCCAGATTCCAAACGACCCAGGGAGCCAGCGGTTATTACCAGAGTCAGCAGAGGGCAGCAGAGAGCTATTTGGAAACCCAAGGTGTTTTCCATTGAGTGTGGGCAAGACACCAAAACATAATTTCCCCAGATCAGAAGTCAGACATTCTGAGAGTGAGCAGGTTCAAAGAGAGAAGAATGCAGCAATGGCCAAAAAGGCCAGTCAAGGTCTAACGGGAGGAATGTGCAGAAGGGAGGTCCAGAAAAGCCCTGGATATTTTCAACTTTCAAGATCTGGGTTACATAATATAAAAGCAATTATAACTAAGAGGTACTCCCCAAGTGAAACAAATTTGAGTATTTTTTTATTTAAAATGGCATATCTAACCTTATTCTGTGTAAATACACTAATGGTGGAAGCATATTTTATTTTTTGGATAATAGCATCATTGATATTTAACATGATAAAAACATTCAAACACTCTTACCACATAGTCAAATGACCCTCCTCCCCACCTCCCACCGCCGTCACCAGTGACCCTCTTGCCTTTCCACTTATCCATTTGGCCCTAAACCAGAGAGCTGATGAGGTTTCAGCATAGAACTGCCAAAAGCCATGGTGATCAAGTTTCAAGAGGGCCATAAATACAGGTGGTTCTGTATTATATAACTATAAACCTTTCCCTGAATTTAGAAATATAAAATTAATGTGAACATAAAAATTGCCTCCATTTACTTATATCTTTATTTTTTATTCTCATTCAGATCCATGAAGCTAATAACTGAATCACTGAAAACATCACCTTGTAATTATTGCCTCAGCTTGCTGTCCAGCATGTTTTGCTTTACCTTCGATGTCTCTAATAATCTTATTTATCTATTTCTCCATCTCCTTTGACCTTTCTCTCACCAACATACACAGTTAAGCACACCTTTCAAAACCTTCCGTCTGTCCTCCAGTCTTCAGCAGTACTCTGATAATATTCTTTCACTTCACCCTGTTCCAGAAAAGTTTTCCTTAGCTTGTCCTCCTCATTATTACTCTTTCATTCTAATCCATTCTGAATTCTCCTTGCCAATTCATGACCTATATAAATATATATCCGTACTTGTTTCTTCTTTATTCTCTCTGTATCCCTCACAAAAGCAGATTCTAAAGAACCAAATGTGAATTCCCCCCTCTATCTCATGGGTACATTTTTATATCTGTGGACTTTACCTTCGTTCCCTCTAATTTCTGCTATCTCTAACATTTAGAAATATAAGTTCACCAGGCCTGAATCCTCAGATGTCCAAGGAAGATGACTGGTTGTGATAAACAGCACAGAAAACCAATTTAAAAAAAAAAAGGCAGCCTGGCTAACAATCTAGGGTTGTCCTAGGAGCCTGGCCTAGACCCACTGAGAACCCAGGTCAGGTCATTCTGAGAGTGAAGGCTTGAAGCCATGTACCTCCAGCTATATGACTGCACAAAGAAATAGTCAGCAAAAACATAAAGGGGAGTTGTGGGAAGATGGCAGCATATAGAGGATCACAGATCTGCAAAAACTCCATTGGGACTGAGAGATGAAACCCTTTAGTCAGAAATAGAATCACCTCTAGACTCCTCCATCCAACCCAAGAATCCACAAATGGATCCCCAGAGTACTTCAGAGATGCTGGGGTAGACAAACTAGAACAGGTTGAGGGTATAGCCCTGAGGGTAAAGTGCAGCCAACCCCTATATACTGCTTGTAGGAACCTTCTAGGCAGAGCCTTCCCTGAAGCTGAGTCACTGTGAGTGGAGGTCTCTGGCATGCTCTGAATTAAGCTAAACAGGGCCTGACCCTGGCCTGAATCCTCAGAAATCTGCAGAATCCTAAAATTGAAGGAAAGGTGTGAGGAGTCATCAATGCCCACTTCACAATTGTGTTATAGGCTGGTTCTGACTATAAAAAGGCTGCTATTTTGTTGGTAGTGGTGGGGTGGTGAGACAATCAGGATTAAGTGACTTGCCAGGGTCTCACAGCTAGTAAGTAAAGATTGCTATTGTTAGTAACAACAGTAATAATAGCTAAAGAAGCATCCTGGAATAATGGATAGAGAGCTGGAGTCAGGAAGACCTAGGTTCAAGTCCTTCCTCTGACTGTGGACAAGCCAGTTAATCTCTCTGTACTCCCAGTAATTCTCTAAGACCATAAATTGCAGACTAGGCACCAAATCCATTTTAAAGATGATGAAAGTGGGGCTCATAAAGATTACATACATGTAAGCCCAGGTCTCTCCTTATTTCAAGTGAGCATTAAAAGTAGCACTTTCTACTATACCACAATTTTTAAATTGATGTTTTCTGTTTGTACATTATGTTCATTTCTGAATATATTCCACCCCCTCCTCTATCCAGAAGGCCTTCCCTTGTATCAAAGATTTAAAAAGAAAAAAAGCAGCTCAGCAAAACGAAACTAATTCATCCATCACATTTGAAAGCAAATGCTATATTCAACACCCAGTGTCCCCCATCTCTGAAATGAAAGTGATGAGGTGCTTGAGTGCTTGTGCTTATACTTGGACCCCAATTTCTCCCTAGTGTCACAAACACTGTCTCTGACAACCACTCCCCAGCCCAAGGACACTGAGTCTAGCAGTTATTCATGTATGGACCTCAGCAGACCCTTATCTTTCTCCTAGTCCCGCTACACAAAGCTGGGTGAGAGAGTGCTGGGCTGCTCATGTCTTTGGAAGCCTCCCAATTCCTTAGTAAGTTCCTGTCTTGTGAGAAAGCTTTCCCTTGTTGCAGAGCATTCTCTCATCAAGACAGAGGGAAAGGGGTTTCTTGCCCAGCCCAAGGAGTTTTATCCTAGACCAGCCCAAGGGCTCTTCCTCCTGCTAGACTCCCAAGATCCATACCTCTGTCATCTCCCTCCCTGGCCAGTATACTCCCTGTACTTTCTCCCAAAGGCACCTGAACCTTTAGATTACCTCATCAGTGTCCCTGGCATTCCTTTCCCATGTCCTTTTCCATATAAACCCTAGCTCCATCCTCAGTCTCTCGCAGGTTCCTTAAGAATCCTTGCCCGCTGAAAATCATAACAATAAATCTTTGCCACCTTAACTTGAAGAATGCTTGAGTCTGTGAATTCATTCCAGAGGATCCAGCCTGTACTCTAGTCTTTGAGGGGTTTCAATCTCTCAGACCTCAACAAAAGGAGCCAAATGCACTTTCTCATCTCTTTCTCCAAGGCCAAACTCAACCATCATAATTACACAGCTTTCAGTTATCTTTTATTATACTTTCTTTTCACACAGTCACTCCGCATTTTGTTTTCCTGGTTTGGCTTACTTCATTCTGCATCAAATGATCTGTGTATTCACATGCTTCTCTGAAGTCTTCACATTTCCTTCTGGTGAAGAAGCAATATTCCATTACCTTCATGCAACACAGTTTTTTGTTTTGGGGGGGTTTTTTAGCCATTCAACCATCCAACTACACTATCCTTTAAAAAAAAACAAAATTTAACACTATTTAGTTGTAAAGATGTTATTTCATTTGCTCTAGTCCTCTCTTTTAGTCTGTGATGAATACTTGGGTGTGGCAACTCCCTCTACCCGTAGTTAGCGAAAATCAGGATTTAATAGTTTCAGAATGGGGTAGTAGTCAAGCCACAAGTATGTGCCAGTTGTAGAACCTGAACCCAGATCTTCCAGACTTCAATATCCCCTCTCAATGCCAAGCTGCCTCTTCAAAGCAAAGTCCCCCAGAATAGAGGTTCTTAATCTTTTTGTTTCATGGATACCTTTCTCGTTCTGGTAAAGCTTATGGACCCCTACTTGGAATAATTTAATTCAATAAACCTAATTTATTCAATGCCTACTGTGTGCCTGCACTGTGCTTAGCACTGGATGATGATGTTTTTAAATGCATAAAATAAAATGAAAAGGGTTACAAAGGAAGCCAAAGGTTATTGAAAATAAAAGGGTAGGTTTTTTAATTTTCTTATCTAAATTCATTGCTTCTTCCCCATCCCTCTCGAAATCTACCAGGTCATGAACCCATGGTGAAGAATCTCAGCCCTAGAAAAACATGCTTAATCGTTTTTTCAACTTCCTACTTATAAAAAATTTATATTTTTAAGGAAAGTTGGCCCTCTTTCCGACCAGAATTAAAAAAAAAAAGACATCAATACCAACCAACAACACACACCCCTCCCTTTAGCTTCTTGGTTTTATGTTGGGAGTTTTTTTTGTTTTTTGTCGCTTTTTTTTTTAAGGATAATTTTGAGATACTCCCTTCTGACTACTCTAGGTCCCAAGACTTTTAAAACATTCTCCACCTCCCTTTCCTTTCCCCCTCTTCTCCCCGCCTCCGCCCTCTCGTCCCGGGAACTAGAACTCTCGCGAGATAGCCGAGTTTTCATCAAGTCTCCCGAAAGCCTTTGCTCTTCCTCTTCCCTTGACCGGTCCTAGGTGAGTGAAACGCGGCTTTTGGGCCACGTCTCCAATCCGCCGGGCATCGCCCCCATCGGCCCCTCAGTTTGGCCGAACTGAAGGCCTCCGTGAGGGGCAAACCCGAGGCTTCCTTCGGGGCCGCGCATTTATCTCCCGATGGCTTTGGTTCCGGTGCGGGGAGTTGAGAGAAGCCTTGGCCTCCCGTTTGCCTCCGGCGGCGGACGGACGGACGGGGTGGGGGGGGAGGAGCTGAGCGCGCGCTCGGTCACCCCCTTCCCGTGCCCCGGCCTCCGTCCCTGTCCCCGCCTTCGGTGTCCCCGCGAACGCCGGAGCCTCCCGGAAGCGGCCGATGTCCCCGGCCGGGCACCGGGACCCCGCAGGTCTCCGCGTCCTTGCCGCGTGGAGAAGGCAAGGCTGCGTTCTCTGCTGTCGGGTGGGACGCGGAGGGAGATTAAGGAAGGAGGCGGGTAAAGGCGACCCTTGCTGGGTTTACTGTACCTTGCCAACGTTGTGGGGAGAACCTTTCAGAGCAGGGCAGGCTGGGATAATGAAATTGATGTTTCGGTGGGCCCCAGTTTTCCTTATAAAAGGAACGGGTTGGAGCAATGTGACTGACTGTAAAACCTTTGGATAGGTGGACCAAAATTATTCAATTTTTTCAGTCGTGTCTAACTTTTTGTGACCTCATTTTGGGGATTTTTTGGGCAAAGATACTGGAGTAGCTTGCCATTTCCTTCCCCAGCTTATTTTACAGATGAGAAAACTGAGACAAACAGGGTCAATTGACTTGCTGAGGGTCACACAGCTAGTAAGTGTCTGAGTCCAAGTTTGAATTCAGGAAGAGGAGTTTTTCTGACTCCAGGCCCAGGGCTCTATCCAGTATGCCTCTTAGCTGCCCTAATTACTCCGATTGTAAAATCTGAGAGCATGTCTAAATTTGTCATACAGGTGGTATTTATTGGGAGTGTGCCCAACACTGTTGAGTATTAGGGGAATTTTAGAACTTGAAGAAATGCATAGCTGAGTAAAGGAAAATTAAGACATTTATTGTGTTTTTTCTACTTTGGAATAAGTGGCTGCAATGATGACTATTCTTAGGACACCTTTGGATTAACCATGAAAACAATGACATTCTGAGCAGCTGCTTCATTTAGATTCATGTTGGGATTTTCAGTTTGTGTTTCCACAAATTGTTTTGACTATTTAGATGTCCGTGTAATTCTTCCCCCTACCCCCAGTATATCTACCAAGTGCTAATTTGTGAATCTTGTGAAATGTATGTATAAGAAAAAATAATGAATTGTTGCTTTTTTTCCTAGGTAATCATTTAAAATGGTGAGGTATTCTCTTGATCCGGAGAACCCCACAAAATGTAAGTGAACATGGGATACTTTAACTTAGTGTTTTGTTTTTATTGATTTATTTGGCTTTTACATTGCATTCAAACATTAAAAATCAATAATGCATCCTGCAGATAAAAATGCTTTTATAATTTATAAGGCACAGTAAAATGTCCCTCTCTACTAATCTGAACAATTTTTTAATCTTCCAGCATGCAAGTCAAGGGGTTCGAATCTCCGGGTCCACTTCAAGGTACGTGACAATAATTCATGATTAGGTTCTAAAGTGGTTTTTCATCTTGCATATATTTCTTGGAATCAGGACTGTGTATTTGAAGCTGCAATGATGATGTTTCTTAGGACACCTTTGGATTAGCTATGAAAATAAAACTCAATACTGAGCAGCCACTATTGTTTGTTTAGTGAGTTCTCCAGGGTTTTATACTAGTGCTACATCTTAACCAAAATATTGAAAGCCAGTGAGATAAGAAATAAGTGGGAAGTGTAAACTCTGGGTTAATTTGTGCTACATAAATGCAATTATTACAATAGTTTAATGAGAGGGAAATCTACAAAAATCGATAATGCATTACAACCAGATGTTAGATTAGCCACATTGATGTATCACTGTAGGAATGTATCATAAATATGATCTGAACAATCATGGGTAGAAAATTTTGGGTCACATGTATGCATTAAATATCAATTATTGTGGTTGACAGTATATCCAGTCAATCAGTAAACATTTATCAACTGCGTAGGTGCCAAACACTATTCTAAATGCCAGGGGTACAAAAAGAGACAAAAGACTGGTCTCTGCCCTCAAAGAATCTTGTATGCAAACAAATATATACAAAGCAAGCTACATACAGGATGAAACCACTGGAATTAAGGGGCTAGGAGAGGCTTCCTGTAGAAGGTGGGATTTTACTTGGGACATAAAAGGAAGCTAGGGAGGAATAGAATTGGAGCAGAGGAAGATCAGTTCTAGGCATGGGAAACAGCCAGAGAAAATGCCCAGAGCTGAGAGGTGGAATGTCTTGTTAATGACACAACCAGGAAGCCAGTGTTGTTGGATCAAAGAATGTTAGGGAGTAATAATCCTTTTTCAAAACTGCCTCTTTTGACTCACTTGTTAAATATGACTTTTTACAGAACACCCGTGAAACAGCCCAAGCTATCAAGGGCATGCATATCCGAAAAGCTACCAAGTATTTGAAGGATGTCACATTGAAGAAACAGTGTGTTCCCTTCAGGCGATATAATGGTGGAGTTGGCAGGTGTGCCCAGGTCAGAATTCTTTATTTATTTGTGGAAATATGTTAAATGTCTTTCTAAAAACACTTTTAAACAATCAGCTTGGTAGAATAAGTTTAAATGATAAGGTTTACTTCCTTAGGCATTCCTTTGTTGCTGTGATGACAATCTTAGGACACCTTTGGATTAATCATGAAAAGAAAAATGTTCTGAGCAACTTACAAACCAAATTTTCTGAGAAATGGGCAAATTTGAATTTCCAGGGAAATGTGCTAAATAGAATGGCAATGGTCTTTTTTCTTTTTCCCCAGGCTAAGCAGTGGGGTTGGACACAGGGTCGTTGGCCCAAAAAGAGTGCTGAATTCTTGCTGCATATGCTTAAAAATGCAGAGAGTAACGCAGAACTGAAGGTAGGCTAAAACCGTCACATGTCCATACCAAATGAACGTTATTTTGAAATAATGCCAGCTGTTAAGACTCAACTTAATATTGGTTACTCCAGTACCTAAGGCAGAAATGGATTTGATGGCAGTGATGACTCTCTTAGGACACCTTTGGATTAAACAATGAAAATAATCACTCTCTGAGCCATCAAGTGACATGGTAGCCTGAGTTTGTGGAAGTGATCGGTCTAGTCCAGGGCCCCTCGTTTTACAAATGGGGAAACCAAGTCCTTAAGGTTAAATAATGTCTTCTATAATACAAGTAGAAGCAACTTGGTCAGATGACCTGATTATGAATCACATCTCCTGTGGATAGTTTGATCTCAAGCATCTCTTTGTCCCTGGGGCTAATTTCATGTTTAATTCAATTTTAACTCAAGGTATTAACCTTATTTCTTAATTTTCTACACACACACACAGGGTTTGGATGTGGATTCTCTTGTCATTGAGCATATCCAGGTTAACAAGGCTCCCAAAATGCGACGGCGTACTTACAGAGCTCACGGTCGGATCAACCCATACATGAGTTCTCCTTGCCATATTGAGATGATACTTACTGAAAAGGAACAGATTGTTCCTAAACCAGAAGAGGAGGTTGCTCAAAAGAAAAAGGTGAAAAAAATTTGGATTTTTATATCACTGTGAGATTTCTGGTTGCCATGATGACAATCTTAGGACACCTTTGGAATAACCATGAAAAAAACTTGTATTCTGAGCAACCCTGTTTTCATTCTTGAACTTTCCAATGCATTGAAATGTCGATTAGTTTCTTTTTTATAGTGAAAAACAAGTGTTTTTGAGAGTTGCCTTTTTAAAAGTCTTTTTCTCCCCCCCCAGATATCCCAGAAGAAACTGAAGAAACAAAAGCTTATGGCACGGGAGTAAATATGACATTAGAAACCAAATAAAAGTGAAATGAAAACATTTGTTACAGTAAATATTTGTAAAGTATTTATTTTCTTTTAAAAGTTTATCCTTACCTCAATGTTGAGCATGTGTTCTGTTGCTTTTGTTGTTTGTTTGTTTGTTACTCAGTTTTAATGACTAGATGTTTGTGGTAGCAAGAGCTCAACCTGAGGTTGAGCCTTGGCCCTACTGTTTTTAACCATATGTAGGGTAGCATTGGCAAATCATTCATGTCCCTGAGTGTGCTCATTTGGTAACTGATATAGTAGAAAAAACATGACATTAGGGATTGATAGACATAGTTCTTGTCTTTTTTACTATAAATAGCTAGGGATAGTCTCTGGGTTTTGGATTAATTAAAAATTTAAATGAGTAGCCAATGTAGGTCATCAGTGTAGTCAGTATAAGAGTTCTGAAAAGGTACTGGCTGCTGTGTGTAGTCTTCCTTTGCTATGGATTATAGAAATAAGTGACATGGGAATGAGTGCTGGGCTTGGTATGAAGTGGGGATTATGTTTGCACAGGCAATGTCAAAATTGGGTAGACAAATTACCATGTGCATTTGCCACAAAGCACTATATAAACATTCGACTATTTCACCAGTAATATGAATTTTGTGAAATGCATTCCTTCATTGGAGATGAAAGTCTTGTTTTTAAGTCCTATAACAACTAGTCTATCTCCAGTCTCATTTCCTCTGTAAAACTGAAAACTGAAGTATGATTTTGTCATCTTTTCCTCCAACTTCTCTTAAACTTTCATAACCTGGAAATATTTTTTTATACTATTTTTCAGTTCTATCTGCCTTTAAAACCATATTTCACTCTGTGATTTGCACTGTGGTGCTTTTCAATTATTTTGTCCTTACAAGGGACTCAGTAGTGAGAAGCCTTTTCCCTTCAAATCTTTCTTCCTGTGGTAATTTCTTTTCTCCCTTTTGACTGGCTGCTAACTCCATATTGGGATGTATGGCCAGTTCAGGAGGGACTAGGAACTCTACTGTGAGGCATTGCAGAGCCATCTTTGGTGTCATTCTGGTACCTGTGGTTCCAAGAAGCTGTCACAGAAAGAGTGGCCACACACACCCCAGTAAAACTGCAGAAGGGCTAAATTAGGTTAAGGGTAACTGACAGACCTGAAACCCTTTGGGTTAGTGGAGTGTGTCTGCCCCAAGCATATGAAAACTCCAGTAGGATAGGCTGTTCAGAAGTCAAGACGACTAAGGGCATGTACTGCAACCCCAGGCCATCATCAGTTCTCTTGAATTGTCTTGCTTGGATTTCCATTACTGGAGGAGACAGTGACGCTGACAACTTTGCTCTATTCTATCTCACTTGCAATTCTTGCAGTCGGCAAGATATTCCCCCAGTGATGGATGTCATTGGTTCTCTTAGAAAACAACAACCCTCTATCTCCCAGAAATCCCCTGGAATGCTGTTCTCCATTGTGGTAGGCCAGGCCAAGGACCTTCAGACTCCTGCTGAGGAGGTCACTCACCGGATTTGAGCAGATTGCTAATGGAATTTTCTGTGGCCTAGTTGCCAATTTGTATAATTACCTGTTAGGAATTAGAAGAGATTGTTTCCTGGAGAAGCCTTAAATATCAGCCATCCATAAGTGCTGTTTGGCTAAGTGTTGAGATAACAGTTTCATAAACATTTGTGATTGTAAGGCTCTAACTTTATTGCTTTGTCCCATCTCTGATTCTGCGATACATATTTAATGGTGGGTTACAATATAGAAGTAATAGCACATAATTTGAGAAATTAATACCTTAAGCCAAAAACTAGGTGTTGCAGGTCACCAGAAACTTAAAAACATTGTTTTTAAAGACCCTTAAATACATGTCTTCAACAAACTAAACACTAATGTTTTATGTTTTTGTAAAATTTCTAATTATGTAGTCCCTTCCATCCTTCAGAGCTTAGTTCCAGCCTTTCCTTTCCACTCAAAGTGGAGGCGAACTGGCCTTACTCTTAGAATACATCTCCAATTTCCAGGCCTCTTGCCCTGAAATGCACCCCCTTCTCAAAAAATTTGCTGGGGCAGCCGGGTGGTGCGGTAGATAGAGTTCGGGCCTTGGAATCAGGAGGACTTGAGTTCAAACGTGTTTAGACACTTGACACTACCTGTGTGACCCTGGGCGAGTCACTTAACCTCGATTGCCTCACCAAAAAAGTTTACTTAACATGTTTGTCAGTAGAACAAATGCGTGAATGAAAAGGGGTGGGAGGGAGAGACACAAATGCAGGAAGCAGAGGAGGGGTCCTTAAGCTCTACCCTTAGGCACCATCCAGGAACTATCAATTGCAAAGGGGGAAAAGGGAGATGCATTCGTGGGTTCCGGTGCCAGCGAGGAGGCTGGCCTTCGCTGATGCGGAGGCCAGACAAAGGCAGTCACCGAACAGGGAAGCCAGGCGTGGCCGAGAAGTGCCAAACTAACTAATGTCCAATCTAAGAAGAGGGAAAGTATTGAGGTTCCGTTCAGCCCTAATCTACGATTCTCATAATTCCGTGAAAAGGAACGTAAAAGAAAGCACTAGTGCTAGAGTCCAAGAAAGAAAAAGGGAGTGAGGCAGAATTTTGGGGGGAACGAGGAAGCCCAACAGCGCGCAATCGTAGAAACCGTTCAGCTCTTCGGCCCGCCCATCTCACGTGTCCTAGACTGCCCCGCCCTTTGCACCCTGCTACGTCTCCCGAACTCAGGCAATGGACGTCCTGAGGGGCCGGAGCATTCTGGGCATTTGGGTTCCCGGAACGTCACCAAGACAACGGAGACTCGACGTTCTCAGCTCACGTGATAGGAGCGGGGCGGGCTCCACGGGCTGACAGAGTTCTTCCTCCCGGCCCCCCATTGGCCTCGCTGTGGTCCCGGAAGCGGGGACGCTTCCGTTCCGGTTTTGCTGTCGCTTGGGTGAACGGGCTGGGGCAGCGGTTCAGTCGGTCTGTCGGTGGGTCCGTGGGCTGGTGCGTGAGGGGCCGGGGTCGGGGGATGTTGTGGGTCCCGCAGGGTGGGAGAGGAGAGAAGTAGCGCCAGTCCTAGAGACTGACGGCGGCGCCTGGGAGCGGGCGGGCCTCGGCTTCAGCCGTTGTCAGGGCCCGGGCACCTTCCTCGGTGGGTTCGAAGGACCCCGGGGGATGGGGAGCAGCCATCTCCGCTTGCCTGATAGTCACCCCCCCCAGCCTGGCTGTCATCTTGGCCTTTTCACCCCACTTCTTCCCGTTCCCTCGCCCCCGATATCCATGTCATCCCTATCGTCCCTCTTGTCCCTGCCAAGCCGGGCACTTGTCTTCCTACCCTTGGGTTTTTGTCTCATCTTCCTCCGTTATCCACCCTTATCACCTTTTCCCACCCATTGCCTTGCTCTGCATCTTTTACCATTTCGTCTTCCCTCTTCATCTCTCATGGCCCCCCTAATTGTCTTCCTGAACCCTACTACTTCAGCTATCCACCCCAACACTTTCTGTGACTCTCTGCTTTTCACCATCTCCCTTCATCTTCATCAACTCTCCCCAGTCTACTCTCATTGTCTCTCACCAGCTCCTCATCTTTCATTCTGTCTCTAATAGTAATAACAGTTTACATTTTAATAGACTTTATGGTTTTTAAAGTGTTTTCCTCACAACAATCCTTTGGAGTGGGTAGTGCAAGTATTAGTTCCATTCTCTAGGTAAGGATATTACTGAAGATCAGAGAATAGCCTATAATCACTTGGCAAAGGCTGAACTCAAAGATCTTATGGACAGCCATCTTTTTTCTCCACCAGGACAGGGTGTCTATGAGAATAAATGTCAGTTTTTTAAAAAAGAATGTGTGCAAACCCGGTGTAAAACATCAGACTTTTATTTTTAAGTTTTACAGAATTATCACCAACACCTTTAACATATTCTTTAACAAAAATAAAAGGATCCTGCATATAAAGTTTCTGTAATTTTGAATGCAATTTAACTAATATTCGGGCTTTTTTTAAACAGCAAAATTAAAATCTTTCATGTCAGTTTTCGTATAGCCCTGTATTTCCTATTCCAATATATTACCTGTAAGATATAAAGATTTAAAGACTTAAGGTGCTAGAGAAAAGTAATTTTTAAATAATAAAAATGGCTGATTTTTTTCTAGCACTTTGTATTTAGTCCTGTGAAGACCCTTGAAAGGGTAGATGCTACAGTTCTTATTCCCACTTTACAGATGTGACTGAGGTACAATGAAATTAAATGACTTGCTCAAGGTCTAGTACATCTAGTAAGTGTCAGAAGTAGTATTCAGATCTATGTATTCTGACTCCGATTCAGGATTCTTTCCATTAGACCACACCTGTCTATACAGTTGAACCTTACACATAGTTTTTCATCTAGTATAACCACCTCATTTTACAGGTTTGGAAACTAAGACCAGAAAAATGTCTCTGAATCCAGCACTCTTTCCACTATGCCATGATGTCATTGTAGTATGTTTAAAACTTAGATTTAGAGTCCTGACCTTAGAAAAATTTTTTAACTCATTAAGATTTTATGAAATTATAGGTATAGACCAGAAGGAAAGATTTCATTCAGCCCCAGACCATTGTTGTCTTTCTTTCATCTCTTTTTTTTGAGTGATCTTTGGCCCTATACCAGGGAGATAAGCAGGATGTTTCCTTAGCTTTTTGACAAGAACATAGTTTTTCTCTTCTTATTTTGTCCTGTTGGAAAGATTGAGGTGTGAGGTTGGGGTGCTGAACAAAGTACTTTTTTCCAAAGTTTAGAAATATCCCATCTATTTAGGATTCTGTCTGTCTTGTCACATAAGAGAAATCTGTTTTAAGTATGATTTTGACCAAAGACACTTAGAAGTAAATTTCCTTTCTCTAACTGTGTCTCCTAAATAGTATTATTTGTATATTTTCTGGAAACATAAATTCAAATTCTAGAGATTGTGGTAGAAAACAAAATCATATAGTTTTTATCATCTATTATGCAAATTATAAAGTACTTTATTTAAAATCCTCCACTACTTCTCTCTACCCCTGCCCCTAGTCGAGGGTTTGAGGTT